GGGGGGGGGGAAGAGAGAGGGAGAGAAGAGAGGTGTTATATCCATATATCCATATCAGATTGCCATCAAGTTCTCTGATATTGTTGGGGGTGAGGAGTAGCCTGCTTAAAATGGAGAACTGCAGGGCTTTCCAATCACCGTGTGTAAAAAGCAATTGTTTTCCTGGCCTGGACACTTGGCCCCGATCCTTACTTTAGTCTCAGGTTTGCTGCCTGCTCTGCGGAATCGAGCCAGCACAGTTTGGAAATAACCGTAGATGATTGGGTCTTGGAGCTTGTCTGCAAAGCAGTCAAAGTTGTCCTGCAGCTTGTGAAGGCCCCGATCCGAGAGGGGAAGCAGAGTAAGGCAGTAGGACAGATCCCGATACTGACGCTCAGTTCTGGGAAAGACAGAGATTGCCATTAGCTCTTACAAAAAGGGGTGTGTAAGGATGAGATCGTGCTAATTAGAACTACAGCACATGAGAATAAAGCATGTCCTGCAGGTGCTTCTGCCTGCACAACATGAGATTTGGGTGGTTGTGTTCCAGGTCAGGCAGAATGCTGTGCCATGCCATACACAACAGAATCAGAATCACAGAATCATCTTAGTTGGAAAAGACCTTGAAGACCATCCAGTCCAACTATTAACCTCACACTGACTGTTCTCAACTCCACCAGATCCCTCAGCGTTGGGTCAACCCGACTCTTCAACCCCTCCAGGGATGGAGACTCCCCCCCTGCCCTGGGCAGCCCATTCCAATGCCCAACAACCCCTTCTGCAAAGAAATACTTCCTCAGAGCCAGCCTGACCCTGCCCTGGTGCAGCTTGAGGCCATTCCCTCTTGTCCTATTGCTTGTTCCTTGGTTCAAGAGACTCATCCCCCCTCTCTGCACCCTCCTTTCAGGGAGTTGCAGAGGGCCAGGAGGTCTCCCCTCAGCCTCCTCTTCTCCAGACTAAACCCCCCCAGTTCCCTCAGCCGCTCCCCACCAGACCTGTGCTCCAGACCCTGCACCAGCTCTGTTGCCCTTCTCTGGACATGCTCGAGTCATTCAGTGGCCTTTTTGGAGTGAGGGGCCCAAAATTGAACCCACTCATCAAGGTGCAGCCTCACCAGTTCTGAGTACAGGGGTCAAGATCCCTTCCCTGTCCCTGCTGGCCACGCTATTGCTGATACAACCACCACTGGATTCCAAAGACACTGACTTCATGTCTGTCAAAGACATGAAGGCTTCAGTGTTGAAGAACACAGTCACTTGTTGAAAAAGTGTCAGAAGTTATTGCTGGCTGAGGAAAAAATACACTCAATGAGGTAAGGACTCCTCTTGAAGGGCCTTGTTTCAACTGAATAATAAAAAAATCATGGCTGCCCACTTTTGCATGTTTGAGATAGTCTCAAGCAGAAGCTGTATTTGATGTTCTCTCTCCTGGCCAGTTACATAAACATAAAGGCAGCCATTTTAATTAAGTCAACAAATAAAAACTACTGTATCAAAAGGAGAACTACATTCAAATTCCAGCAAGATACAGGAAAAAGAAAAAAAAAAAAGGCAGAAAACCGTAAAGCAGCAAGCTAACATCCTTAATGTAGCTCACTGTGATGGAATGTGAGGAAAAAAAGCTCGGCTGAAGACCCTATCATTAACACATACAAAGCAGAGGGCCAGAAGTCTGTCCTACATATACTCTCTCAGAATGCTCTGTCCAAGTGCAGACAAGTGGAGAACAAAGCCGCAGCATCCAGTGTTACCACATTTAGAGTGTCAATGATACCTGGCACATTGCTGCGTTTAGAACTCCAGAAATGTTGAGGAGGGGGGCGGTGGCAGCTGTGAAATCTTTTCTGATGAGTTCCTGTTTTAGCCTGGAGTGAGGGTCTGGCATTACTACTAGCGTGCATTAAACTCATCATCTTGGTGGTACAGAAATATTAGGGCATTTTAGTAAAGGCCAGGCATGTCTTACATATTGCTCTTCACAAGTGTGGTGTGAAGAGCTCGCCAGTGTTCTTGGGAGGCAATTTTGGAGAGGGGCCGCTCACCACTCCAGCTCAGGAAACAAAATCCAAATATTTCTAGGAAACATGCAACTCCCTGAGGCAGCTGAGCAGGTCACATGCCCAGGCACTGTGTACAAATGGCCAAGATAAGCAGACACAGCTTAAACCTCAAGGGCAAAGCCACAACGATGGAGAAGAGCCACAGGAACGGAGGAAGGCAGGGTGCATGAAATTCAGTGGAAAGTAAAATGAAGATATCATTGAAAGTACAGGACGGAGACGTAGATAAATTTCTATATCATTCTTCTTGGAAAAAAAAATAATCCCAGATTCAAGGCATGGGTCCTGCACTATATACTCTGTCATTAGCACCAGGAGCAAGGCACACACATCTTGCAGACAGAGCAGAGCAAAGGCTTAAGTGGGTAGGGGCACAAGCCCTTGAATAAGAAAATGGAGTCCTAGGAATAGAGTTAGTACTGAGCCCATGCACACAGAACAAGTATAGGCCTGTATCAACTAGACAGTTGATCTCATCCCAGACAGGATCGCAGGGGAGATCCCAACTTCAGCTGAACGCACTGATTTCCTAAGCTGAGATCACAGAATGTTTTGGGTTGCAAGGGACCTTAAAGACCATCTAGTTCCAACCCCCCTGCCATGGGCAAGGACACCTTCCACTAGACCAGGTTGCCCAAAGCCCCAGTGCAAGGAAAAAGCCTGTAGTGAAGGACCACAGAGGTGCATAAAACCCACACGTGGGATGTCTCCCTGCTCAGCTGTAATGCTGATCTAAATTGCAGCAAAACCTTCCCCTAAAAAAGCAGGGAAGGGAGAGGGGCCAATCACAGTCTAGTAAGGCCAAAAGCCCTAGTTTATACATTTACTTTTAGGGGGTAGATAGAGGGAAGAAAGAAAAAAAAAAAAAAAAGGGACCTAATCCAGGTTATGTCAGCATTTGTCATTTTGCCACATGAAGAATACAGTGGGAACCTGTTAGAAGCACTGTATACAAGCTAGCTTCTAAAAATTCCCAAGAAGCAGGCTTGCTAGTCAGGAAAATTAGGATTACAACACACCTGGCAGTCCGGAAACGTTGACAAAGTTTCTCCACCAAGCTCTCTGTCTGTCTGTCTTTTGTAATATATAAGAAGAGATGTCTGCAAAGGGAAAAAATAGCAAAGTTGAAAGAGGAAACACCATTTCTGCCTACACCATGAGATGCCTGCAGCTATCCTACCCAGCGGTCAGCTGGGTGGTCCTCCAAAAGACGACAAGAGAGCTCTGCATGTCTCAGACTTGGTTCAGGAGAAGCTATAAACACACACACACACACACACACACATCCATCCATCCATCTTTCAAATAGTAATGACAGTCGCTGCTGGGGGACAGCTGCTATGATGTAACATATGAAAACTGCATGTTTGCATAATACCACTCGTCTAGGAAGAAATCTAGCTAAAGCAAAGACCCTTGCAGATCTGGAGTGAGAAGTGCTAATGTCTGTGCAGGGTCTGAGGTAGGAGGGACACTGAAAAGCCTACAGTGCTGACTTCTGATCCACTCCTTCCACCCAGCTTTAAGAGCATACAACACCTCCAGACAATTTCCTCACTTCCCAAGGTGCACTGGCAGACTAGTATGTCTGGCAAGCAGACCTTGAGGGGAGTGGGGTGGCATGCAGTACTCCCCCCCCCCCCTTCAAAACCGTTCTTGTAACTTTTTCATTATTAATTTGCTGAAGGTGTGTTGCTGGATTTTTGGATCAATGCAAAAGTGAGTGTTACTTTGCACTAAAGTGGGAACAAAATCTAACAGAACTTAAACACTAACCTGATCCCATGTTTTTCTTAGCTTCTTGAGGAATAGAGAGACATAGACTTTTAACTGAGTTAAGTACTTTTGCATGATGTCATGATGCACAGAAATCACTGAATAACTTCTATTTATTAAGCAGGTCCTTCTGACCTCTTTTTCTTGTACCAACATTTCTGTTAACTTAAGCTCAATCAGGTTGCCACTGGCCTTGATAAAACTGCTCTAAGCACATCTTTGTTATGTCTACAACCATCACACCAAGCTTCTTTTCTCAGATATGGAACAGAGACCATATCCTCAAGAGTCCTCCCTTTGCATTTGTTCCAACATCAATTCATCTTTCTCTAACTTAAGCGACCAGAACCACAGCAGCATTTGTGCAAGGTCTCACCAGCACTACCAATGCTTCCCTACGTAAACCAAATAACTTGACTGCTAAAATAACAAGTGGAACACACTTCTAACTTTAGCTTTACAGTAGAGGTTTAAACAATTTCTCAACATTTAACCTTACACTTTGTTCTGCTAGTTTTCATCTCAGTTATTGCTGTAACCCTCTCATTCTCCACGTTAGTCCTTTAACAGGGATGCTCCCCCTACCACCTCTATCTTTTTTACACACCTCTATTCTCCACTTTGGAAAGTATTCCTGGAGCATAAGCCACTGTTTCCTTCCCAGCCTGTATTTTTGTCCACCAGTTGGAGATTTTACTGTTCTCTTTAGCAACAGCAATACTTCTGTCATGCCCAACACTCCTCTCTGTAATCCACATGGACTCAGGCAACTCAGAAAAACCCTCATATGGTTAAGTTTCAGGCATGAGAGGAAAATGTATGTAATTTACCACTAAAGACATTGCTTGTGCTGTCTATGAGCAACCCATACCCTCAGATTGAAATATTCCAATATGTCTCTCTACTATGGAGTAAGGCTTTCTTGAAAAAAAAAGAAACAAAAGCAAAAAACCCCAAACCCAAACCTGTTACTTTAACTACAGCTTTACTAAAATTCCTTACAAAAATCCAGTAGGTCACCAAAATGATAAAGGTGGCAGTCTTTAAAACCTGTGTATTATTCTAATGTTGTATATCCACATTCCCATGCACAAACCCAACTGTTTTCTAGGGGAAAGTAATTTTGACTGAGCTAGTGGAAACTCTTTGTGGAGTCTCCTCCTCACCCCCAACTATATGGCTTTAGAATTGATTCCCCTTAGCATGACTCCATTTCAGATACAGACTGAGAAATTCAGATCAAGAACAACTGAAAAAGCATTTATGAGTCTCTAGTTTCTCTTCCCTGGATCTGTCACCCTCTTTGCATAAATATAGTCCTGGTCAAAAGAGATTTTTTTTAACCCCAGAATACCTCATAATAGTGTGGAAGGATTCTTCTTCTATGCTGCAGTTAGGATCTGAGAGATGACTGATTATGTCTGGAAGCAGGTTATAGATGGCATTACCCTGTGCAGAATATAAAGTTCTATATGAGATACAGAATTATGAAAGACAGCTTGAGCCAAGCTGAATCAGCTGCCCATTTAAAATTACCTCCTTTCTCCCTACCCCAAATCTACTAGCTGAAAACATCAGCTTTTTGAAACAAGCCGTACACAGCCAGATAAATATATCCAGAACTACTTGGCTGAAGCTAAGGGAGGAAAAAAACCCCAACCAACTGACAAGCTAACAACAACTGCAACTCTTGGTTTGAAACAGCTCTGCTCTTTGGCAGATTTGGATGCAGTTTCTTTGCTTTTCAATCTTGCCACAACCCTATGCAAAAGCTTTCTGGTAAAGTAAACTTAAGCAGCAGTTCAGCTTCTCTGAAAAGGCCCAGTCCAGATCCTCTTTCCCATTGATTTTATGTAGTTTTGTCACAGACACTGCAAAGGTATTAAGTTAGTGCAGTGAGGTGGATGATTCTGGTTTTAACAGAGCAAGCCAAGATATTAAAGCCCCAGTATCACAGCAGCTTCTCAGGCAGTAAATCTCAAACTCAGAAGTGAATCTCAAACATTGTGTACAGGGGGTAACACTGCTACTGTGGTTACCTGCTTGGGCTGCACCTGCTTCAGTTTAAATATCTGTGTCACACAGCCAACAACTTTGAAAGGTTTCAGAAATGATGCACTGCCCGAGCCATAGGGGGGTCAGGGAACTCTGTTGTCAGGCCTAAATTGCAGAAGAACTGTTCCCCACCCTGTGCTAGGCATCTACAAGAAAGCAAAGGGATGAGGCACTGGTTTGGTGCCTGCCTTCCTATGTGAACGGATAAGGCCAAATTCAGCAACATCAGGGTCGCAACAAAACTAATGTTGCAAAAATTCCTTTATCTACCTTCACTCAGGCAACAAAGAGGGACAGACACGCCTTCTGACACACCTTCTCCAGAACAAAACTCTACAGTCATTGACCCAGTCTCCACCCGCCCTTCCTCACACCTGTGGACTAAGGTCCCTGAGCATCCACTTGCCTTGTTGGAGAGTTCACTGAAAAAGTACTGAGCCACTCCCATGATTGCTTTCTCTGGATCTATAAGCAGAGTGGCCATTTCGCTCACTTGGCCCTTCACCTTTACCATGTCTTTGAGGATGAGGTGAGTCATCACCAGTCCAGCTGTTTCCCTCACACTTGGGCAGGGGTCCCGCAACCTGATAAAAACATATAGTTATCACAGAAAGCAGCTAAGTGAATATCTCTAAGGTACTGATACCCATGACAGCCTACTCTACAGCCCAGGTCTCTTGTCTCCTTTCATCAACACCTTCAAATTTGGTTCCTGAGTTATTCTCACCTTCCCAAGGTTCAGTGTCACCCTTCCCCAGAGCTCCCATCACCTGTCCTCTCCCAGCACTGAATGTAGCATTACCTGGCATAGAGATGTGATGCCCAAGGCTCCACCAGGTTGGGGAAACGGATGGCCAGATCTCCTGCTGCAATAATGAGGTTGGATCTCACAGCAGGCAGAGGGGACTTCTCCATCAGAGTGAACAGCAGGCGCAAGTGGGAGTCACAGAACTCAGAGCTGACAAGATAAGGTACAGAAAAGAAGGCATAGATACCAAATTTCCACCTCTCAGAGATCAGAGAGCTTAAGAAAAAAAATCTATGAATGCTCTTTTGTGTTTGTGCACTCCACAGGAAAGAAGATGCAACATTTAACATTTAATGGTCAGTGTTAGGTTTATGGTTGGACTATATGATCTTCAAAGTCTTTTCCAACCTAGACAATTCTGTGATTTGCTTGTACAAGAAAGTCTGGGCAGAGAACACCAGCACAGCTAGGCATTACCTGATCATGCAGAATTTGCCAAGACTCAGAGCTGCAGCAGCTGAGAGCGACGAATCACTGTAGAGCCCAGGGTTGCTGCAGATTTTGAGCACAAGTGGAACAAAGGCAGAGAACAGGTGCTTCCCTAGAGAGAGGGGATAAAACCAGCAAGTATGAGAGCACTGTTTGTGCATGTCTCCAGGAACAATTACTCATTCTATTGCAGAACTTCTGCAAACTATAGAAACTGGCTGACTCGCTTCCACCACTGAAACACCACCTCCAGAGAGGCAGAGCAAAGAAACAGCCAGCCTACACAAAGGTTGACACTGGACAAGAAGTTACAGCATTTCCTTCTAAGGGAAACAGCCTTCCTCCTTATGGATCAGTTACCTGCTGTACCTGTTCTTTCACACAGGCAGATGGAGGCAGTGCTCCTTGGCAGCAGCCACACTTACCATCTAGAAGTTCTGTCTCACAAATACTGCGGATGAGCTCAGCCTCTGTGTCATCGGCTAAGGCACCCACGAGGCCCAGCTCTTCCTCCATAGTGGTCTCCTTTCCCATGCTCTGTGCAGAAAGGAAGACTGTAAAAAAGATGACAGGCAACTACAGCCCCTTCCTATACGAAGTACTCTTCTCTCAGGTGTGGGGTGCATGCATGTTACCAGCAGCATGACTAGAGTTGAAAAAAAACAGACTTACAGATAATTTTATAACTCATTTTTCCCTGAGAAGTAATAAGCTGTGAAGAGTAGTCCAGGATTTGCCAGTCCAAGTGTCACAGAATGCCACTGAAAAGAAAGCCTAAAGCTACTGAAATTACTGAGACAGACACAGGACACATCTGGCACCAATGACTGAGTCCGGCACAACTTAAGGGACACATAATTCCTAAAAGCAAGAAGTTCAGAGTGGCCTTTGAACTGCTGGTCTTGTGAACAAGATTATGGGAAACTTATAACAAGGCAAAAGCAACACAAGGGAAGAAAAGAGATGTCGGTGTTGCACGGGGATGAAATCTGCATCCAACTGCTGTGTATTGGAAAGTCTCATAGTAACCTCCTTTGTGTGGGAAATGGTAGTGATACCTATAAGCAGGGCAGATGAGGAAACGAACAACAAATTTCTCTGGACTTAGCAGTGTATGTGTCTAAATAGAGACTGGATACCTACGGACACACATTTTTCCTCTGTTCTCACCCAAGAAGTCAGCCTCACTATACTCTGGAAAATGTTCTGAGGGAGACATAACCAAACAGGGTATTTCTATCATACAGATCCTATTAAGAAGGCTCCTATTAAACTTTCATCGTCACTACCTGTGAGAGGAGAGGACCCCTCAAGCCCTATAGACCAAGGTTCCAGAAGCCCTTTTCCAAAACTCGGGGCACAAATGGGTGTTCTTCACCAGCAGCAGCAATTGCAATAGATTGCACTAGTAAGAAAGGAGGTGATGAGTGGAAAGGAAATGTTTGCCTGGAGCAGGAAGATAAGTACGGCCAGGACATCACCCTTCATTCCTTCTCTTCTGTCTGTTCAAAACACAAGACCAGTGTGGGAGTTTTACTGAACAGCGTCATTTGAGGACCTCAGCTCTCCCTGTCAATCCCAACCAACATGTCTATTTCTATTCTCAGAGCATGCATTACCCAGACTTCACATATCCTGAGGAGTGCATTCTCCAGAAGTTTGCTGTGGACATTAAGATGGGACAGTACAAGAGCTGCCTGTAGGAAAAACCCTCTCAGTTCTCACCTGGGGTCTCTGCCTCTTCACGCTGTTCCCAGAATGCTTCTTGGTCTTCTCCTCTCTGAGGATGCGACGTCGACGTAGCTCTGCACTCACTGACACTTCCAAATATGCTACTTGCTGCAGTGCCACCTGTCCTACAAGGGACACCAGATGCACCAGCAGGAATGTGGGGAGACTGCTAGCATCATCAGAGACTCTGCTGGGAGAAACCTCTGGATCTAGTGGAGAAAAATTACTACAGTTCAGGGTTGATCTAGATGTCTTCCCCCACCAGTTACTGCCAAGTCTCACTGTGTAACCCATCTCCACACTCCACAGACTACTTTAGAGCACTTGCACCCTTCCATGCCAACACCTCCGCTAGCACCTCAGCTCTGTTCTCCTCCTGCAGTTATCCACCCAATCCCAGCACTACAAACCACAGGTACAGGTTTTCTTGCACCAGCTTTTTTCCTTACCAGCCTTCTGCCTGTCAGCCTCCTGCAGTTTGTCCAGAGCTTGCTGACTGCACACCTGCAGGATGTGAGCACAGATCTCCTCTGCCCCTTCTGCTAGCTGGTAGATGAGCATTACTGCTGCCTCCATGAAGGGGATCCAGTGAGCGCTCGGCTGGCCAAAGCCTGACGAGAAGACAGTGATGTACCACACATACCAGTGACAACACAGGCTGTCTCACAGCCTGACTCCATCCCCTCCAAACCTACCGCTGACTTAAGCTCACCTTTACTCACAGTCTCACTCAAGCAATCAAAGAGCATGTGGTTCTGTGGCAGCCGAAAAGGTGCACTGTTCTTCCCTAGTGCTGGCTGCAGAGAGAACAGATGAGTTACTCTTACCACATAAGAGATCCCCCTTGCCTTTCCTGTGTAGATAGACCAGATATCAGGAAGTATTTATTTGCAGAAGGGGTTGTTTGGCATTGGAATGGGCTGCCCAGGGCAGGGGGGGAGTCCCCGTCCCTGGAGGGGTTCAAGAGTCAGATTGACCCAGCGCTGAGGGATCTGGTGGAGTTGGGAATGGTCAGTGTGAGGTTAATGGTTGGACTGGATGGTCTTCAAGGTCTTTTCCAACCGAGACGATTCTGTGATTCTGTGTATGCAATCCTAGTCAAACCCACACTAGGCCCATGGTGGGGACATTACTGTCACTTTTGAAGGCACGATGGCAGCATTGGGAGCATTTAAAGCTTGGCCAAATGATGATTCCCAGGCCAACCCAGACAGTTCTGCTGCTTTAACCTTAAACCAAAATAACTCTCCTGAAAGCTCAAACTGACTCTTTTTAAATATGATATTATTTACTCATTATCTACAATGCATCTCCCTAAAAATGCTCTAAAGAAAGAAACTTTCAGAGCACCTTCAGAGTTATCAACAGTAAGGTAACTAGATGCCCTTGCCTGGCAGTACTCCAGAACCATGAGGTTTTGTTGAAAAACAAAATATCATCAGTAAAAATAGCAGATGATAGCTCTGGATCCAACACCACCTTGCACTTACTATTGCACATATGCTGTATCAGTCCCAGCACATTTTAGGTTGGGAATAATGTAACCTAGAGAACTACTAAACCAAGTATGACAACGCCCAAGATATCCCAGCACATCTGTGTCTGCCGGATCAATATATACTTGATCAAAATAAGCTACTGCTTGAGGATTTAGCAGTTTTCAGTAGCTGGAAACAGAATTTCTCAATTCACTACAATCCTACTCTCTGTACTGAATTTCTGGTTAAGGGCAGGGGCGAAAGAGGAGTTACCACTGTCATTCAAATATCTACAGCTCAGTCCCTTCCCACACACAAACAACTGCAGAGTTAAGTCAACTGTCTTTTATAACATTAAAGAATGTCGTGATACACATTAATTCATGAAGATCCTGCATTAATGTCCTCAGTAGAAGGGGCAAACAGAATGATGGTGCTGTGTGAAGGAGGGATGCTTTCACGCTGGAACTCTTGCACCAAAATGTCCTAAATACTTGAGTCAAAAACCAAAAAGATGTTTTTCTTTTTCCTCCAAGTAAATGAAAAAAAAGCATAAATTATTCCCCAGACAAAGAAGCCATTGACCATCATGTTGTTATAAGTACAACATGGACAGGTTTGAAAACCTTTCATGTTTTATATTCAGCTATACAGCTGACAACTCCCAAATATCAATTAATAGGGAGGGCAAAAGAATCACAACACCAGAAAACATCAGTAGAGGAAAGGGCTTCATGGCTGAAGAAACACAAATCAGTTTAGAACTGGGAGTCTGTGGAATAGAATTGAAAGAAAAACAGATTTTCTTGTGCACTGAACTCTTTAGTAATTGAATTCAGCCTGTTGCCTAATGAAGATTCTTTTATTACATGTTCACTGATGTGTGCTAAGCTTTTCAGACAGTGCTGCTGAATGGTCTCAACCTACTTAATTTCAAAATCAGTAAAAATTTAATCACTTCTCTCTCTTCTCAATACAAACCATTTTCCCCCTGACCTCAGGAACAAACTAAGAGTCTTACCTTAGGGTTACAGGCCAGTCTGGAGATGGCATTGCAGACTTCTTGAGCCAGGCGATAGTCTTCACATAGCTTCTCAGACAGCCCTACTGTCACCAAGACATCCAGGTTGCTGCCTATGATCTCTGGCTTCCTTCTATGGAATGGAAAGCATGGGGGGTATTACAGGAGTTGCTGCTCAAAGTTTACAGAAGAAAGGATAACCAACAGAAATACTCCTTGTGCCTTGTGGAAGGCAGTGGTTAAAGTAAGAGGGGGAAAGAAAAAAAAATCAGCCAAAGACTCAATATACAGCTATAGGAGCAGCAATCAATATTCCACACAAGCCAATATAATCCACACTCTGCTAAGAGATGAGGATCTCCAAAGTGAACAACACTGGGCACACTGTCTCTTTGTAAAGAAAGAAGATGCTTGACTCTTCTTTCTTATCAGAAAGGAGCAAAACTTAAAAGACAAAGAAAAATGTTGCAAAATAGAAAAGAGTCCAGCGGCTCAGGACCAGTGATATGTGCCACTTCCTCCCCTACTGTGGAAAACAACACAATAATAAAAAAATCCCCAAAACCCATGCCCACTCCCCCTGCTCTTTCTACCTGTGAAAGGTAGAATTGTATATTCTTCAGACCAGGCCTGATCTGAGGAACATATAATTAGTTGGGTGAAGAAGGCAAGAACAGAATCTAATGTATTTAAAAAGAGAATCTATAGGACAAAAGCAAAATCACGTCCCTTGGCAGATTTGTGAAGAAAGCAATGCTGTTCCTATTTCACATATGCACATACCCATGGACTCAACACAGAATCTTATGGGATACCCTGGAAACCTACAGTTTTCTTTAAAAATCACATGATTTTAGGGAAGGATATTAATTTTGAGTGGATGTCCACAATTATGCCATAAGCACATGGGATGAGGCAGTAGAAATAACTTGTAAGAAATACTCAAATTGAGGAACTGGCTGAAGTTCCAGAGCCCAGAAGTTTAAGATCACCCTTCTGCAGGCCTCTTATCGACTGATGAAGGATTGAGGTAGGAAGAGCAAGAAGAAAGTGACAGGTAAGCTAAATGCCAAAGGGTTACTGGGTTGGGAAGCAGAAAATGCAGTGCAATTACACTCTTTTTGCCCCCCAAAAGGGAAGCAGATTCATTTCCCTCCATGCTAAAGGCTCCAGACACCTCTACTCAGCAGCTTCTCACTATTCTTGTCCAAACACAGACAAAGCTGCAGTGCTGTGACATGGTAAGCTCTGAGGAGGAACGGACATTCAGAACACAAAGAAAGTAACATCATCATACTCAGAGAATCTACTGGTGGGACCCACCACAACTACGTTTAAATTCAGGCTTTGTTACCCCATGACATGGTTATTATTTCTGAAGCTGCAAAACAAATGGCTAGCTGATGCAACACCCACAGTTCTTCAATAAAAATCAACTCCCTGGACATCCTCCTGCTCACAGGATTAAACGGGGCCCTGGGCTCACCGTGCCATCATCCCCAGCAGCATCATAGCAGCACGTCGTTCTAGCAACGAGCACTGAGATTTTTCTGTGAATTGCTCCCAAAGCAGCTGGATCACAGCAGGCTTTATTTCATCCTTCTCCACAAATTCCGAGATCTGGAAAAGAAATACAATAAAACAAGTAGGGAGAGGCAGAAGAGGATGGACTTCAAACCAACAAAGATGTTAACGACGACTACTATTTTAATACAACAGACCTCTAAGATCACAAATACAATCAAAACCCAGGAAAGACAAGTACTCACTATTTCTTCTAAGCACTGTATCGTTCCTAATGATGCATCCACCATGATGAGAGAGAGAGAATGCACAAGGCCCTGGGCCCTGGCCCTTTGAAGAGGGAAAAAGAAAAAGGGAAAAAAAAAGTTAAAAAAAAGAAAAAAATCAACTGTCACAATTACTCTCATATTCAGAGAGCTGAGGACATCTGTTAGAGCTTATCCCTGGGAACAGGAAAACTTCCCCCTCCACAAGCTGGAGTTCTCCAAGTCACCAAGCTCGTGAGCATGACATGGGCTCAAAAGTCTACTCCCTTGTGCACTGTTGTTCCTTCCTGTACTCAGAGACCCAGCAAGAGACACTCAACCACAAGTCAAAGTACTATCCCCTAGAACATAACAAACTGAAAATCTCTCCCTGAACAAATAGAGCCAGGGCTCAAACTGCTGGAGTCGTCTCCAGGCAATACTATGAAGAAGAAACTAGAAGCAGCAGGTGCTTTTTATTGCTGATAGTACAAATGAGGGTGAGGTATGGTGTTTTTCACCAGGGATCACACTTATCTTAGTGAGTGTGTATCCAACATGGGCAAGTGATAAAAAAGAGCAAGTGTCACAGCAGAGTGGAGACACAGCTAGTCTAGCGTGGAAGAAACAAGCATGCATGTGGTAGCCTGTTCCCACCCCTGAATTGTCAATGAGGATCAGCAACAAAGACCCCATTAACATCCTCTCATCTGCCACATGTAGAGATTTGTTACAAAACCACGAGATTGGTCTGAGTGAAATATAAATAGAAATGTGTGTGAAAGCACCCAAACGATAATAGCAGCAGCTAACCTTGTACAGTGTGAGGGATAAAGAAACAGCATATATTGAACAATCAAGGACACAACTGACAGTAAGAAAACCAGTAAACACTGAGGAATGTGTTGTGAAGATCAGAAGCAGAATGCCTACACTCAGATAAGGCCACAACATGCGTGGCTTGTCAGCAAAAAAACTGAGCTGTGGCAAGAGAAAGATAGCTCCAACTTTGGACCACACTGTACAGCATTCTACTTATCCCAACAGGATGAGCAACTACTGCCATAAGAAACCCAAAATGGGGGAAGAGACATTGGGCAACAACTTTGCCCACTGAAGATGAAGTATGCAAGACTCTTAGATGTGGGATGACTCTGTAACAACAGCTGACTCCCAAACGGGTTGAAATAGCTGTCCCCCCCCCCAAAAAAAAAAAAAAATTTTAAAAAAAATCAGTTCATTGTTGTGAATCAAGAACCCTGCTGACAAGACAAAATTCATAATGGGCACCCCTTGTTCCTTATCACATAAGGGCCCTACTCGGATAATTGAGGCACGTGTATCTTGCTGCAGTGCTTTGCATGAGAGTGGAGTTTGAGAACGTTGTGAGTGTCTGATAACAGTTTCATTTCAAATAATTCTCAGCTTCTCCTTCCACAAGGTCTCACATGGAGTTCTGCTGCATTTATTTCCTACATATGAACACTAGGACAAACCAAGAGCAGAACCTCAGCAGTAGGAAAACTGGGATAATCAGACACGTAACTTATGTTTCAGCTCAGCATTACGTGTGGTGACTTTGATTTCTCTTCCTGTCCACACCCCATTGCTAACAGCTCCCCAGAAGAAGAAATGGGGTGGGGAGGAGGGGGAGGGGAAAAAAAAAAAAAGAAAAACGAGAAAAAACCCTTCTGTTTAGGAAGAGCCATACCTCTCGGAATCCCCGCTGGGATTCAGATAGAGCTGCCTGTAGGCATTCAGCACAGCCTCCTTAATAGCAGGGTCTTTTGACCATATGAGGGGGAGCATCCTGCGGACTCCGAGCAGTGCCTGGGGCACATCAAACTTTGAGACTGTCACAAAGAACTCAATGGCTTCCTGCACCACTGCAGAGAGAAGAACAGTTGCGTTAGTGCAGTTCTTTCCTAATCCTCCTTAGAGAGGCCATTAAAACAAATTCACAGATGTACTGCTCTCACAGCAAGCCCTACAAGCATCTAGGGTCACTGCTACTGTCTGCAGAGGGCTCAAGTCAGAATGGAGTCACTAGTACAAAGATGTAAATGTACTAGAGGAAACAGGCACAGGTGAACAATATTACAGCTAAATCCAATGGGACACATTTAGAAGAACAATACAGAGACCAGGTTTGAGAAAGAACAAAATTCTGTTCTGGGCAACAGTAGCTTTGGGGGAAAAAAAAAAAAATTAAAAAATCTCATGGTGACAGCAGACAAGAGCAGCTGAATGTAAGTCCCAGTGCTGTAACCAGAAGAACTAAACTATTTGATGTAAAGGATAAGGTATCTGATTACAGCTTGAATGCTCCTGAAATATACTGCCCAGTCTTCTGCCCATAAGACAAGAAAAAACATTAAGTTGGAGAGCATTCACAAGAGAGCCACAGTAAGGGTTAGAGGATCTGTATATGAACCATTCATAGAGTCTGACCTCTGGTTAAGTGGGAGCTTAACCAGTATAAGCCCCAGCTTATAAATCTGAATAAAGATCCTGGATCAGACAAGCTGATATGCTTCCCCTGCCCCCAGTCACACCAGAAGATACATATTTGCAAAAGAAAAAATAAAATTAAATCTTTAAATCTTTAATTAAAAACCCTTAAATCTGGGCACACACATCCGTTATCACCACTCCCTCACCCACCAGCATACTGTCTCCAAATGGAGAGAACATTTCAAAAATGTGTCAGCTGTGCAGACACTCAACTTGCCTTCTTTATGCTACAGCACAGAACAGGGAGGTAGAAAATTAGTAAAATCTGCACAGCCATTAAAAAAAACCACAACAAAACAAAAAAAACCACCCCAGGTGTTTAAGTATCAGGTGAGGGGCACCCTCTCAGCCTTGAGTTTCAAATGACCTGTAAAGACACGGAACTCAGGACTTGATTTTTGTGTATTCAAATAGCTAATGACATCCAGACCTTGCTGGGGAAGCCCACACGCTCACCGCAGGTAAGTACGAGTCCTTACTACAGGTGGAACCTCAGAAGTGCTTGCATGAAGCACTGTGGTGCCCAGACCCACACAACTGGATGGGCCAGGGAAGACTGGGGAGAAGGGAGCTGTGCTCCTGTATGCCCCAGCCCCCTTAGGGGTGCTGATTCAGGATAAGCACTTGAAAAAAAAAAAAAAGGTCTCACTGGTTGCAGTAGTTCTAAAATTAAATATGAATAGCTGAATTAGCTCAAAGGCCTACTCATCACCATCCTTCACTACAGCACTGAAGAGCGCCAGGCCATAGAACCCGCTGATCAGGATCACTTCTAGCTATGGAATAAAGTTTAGGGAAAGGTGAGGTAGACGAGAAGCTGCCTGGTTCTCATCTTGTGGCCAGCATAACACCTAAAGCTTCATCAGGGCACCGAGAAGGTAACACAACCCAGCTTCACTGTCCATGCTTCCTTTGGGAGAGCCTCAGGTGGGATGACAAACCTACATCCTGCCTTCCACAGGAGGTGGAGCAGCTTCTGTGAATTAAGTAGTTTTGGTCACCTGGCTTTTAAAAACATTTCATATTTGATGTTTAAAAATTAGATTCTTAAAAGCCTGTTCATGCCTGTAATGGTTTAAGCCCTGCCGGGACCGGAGAGCATGTTGCCATTGTCCCTCCCCCACCCTCAGCCGGTTGGGCTGGGAGTGAGGCACAAACTCCGGCTAAAATAATAAATTTAATACAACAGTGTGATAAACAATCTGAACAACAACAGTAGCAATGATAACAACAATAAACAGCAATAAGAGTGAACAAGACAAATGATATACTGAGAAATACCGCTAAATAGTCACGGAACAGGTTCCTGCCATCAAGCCCACCAAAGAGCAGTAAAAAGGTTCTGCCCCTGGACCTGACGTCAGCATGGTATGAATAACCCAAGCTGGAGATTCCTTCCCCCTCCCTTTCTGCTGGGGAAACCTAACCCTATCCTAGCTGAACCAGGACAATGACCTAACACAACCCCTTGACGAACATCCATTTAGATGGTGCTTGCTTTTCTGAGATCCTGGAATTGCCTGGGATATCTGCTCAGTGAAAAGCACCGCCTCCAACCTTTTCCCCTTGCCCTCTGCCACTCCCACATCTCCTCTCCAGCAAGGGGAAAGATCTAGAAATGTTAAATGGGAGGGAAAGGGCCTCATGGTTATTTCACACACCTGAGACACAGTTTTCATACATCATCTTGCTGATCAAGCCCAGGGCTTCTGTGATTTTCGCTGAGAAGTTGTAAGCATCTTGTAGGTACTGCACCAACATCTTCTGTTTGACCAGCTCTGTTTGACATTGCTCTTCCAGCACAACTTCTTCAGTCTTGTCACGTGGAGGATCCTCACTCTTCTCACCTAGGCATGAACCTGCACAGCATGAACACTTGTTTGTGAGCAGTGCTGAAGGTATGAAAGAAACAAGCAAGGTCCCGGGCATTTTAACCCTTCTCTCTCCACCCCACAGTGACACCTTCCAAGAGCCAGGAGACAAAAATCCAAATTCTGCCACCAGTCTTATCTACAAAAACAAAATCTCAGCATGCTGCAGAGCAAGTTCCAGTACCACAACCTGACGCACCATGGAAACGCTAACTTAATCCAGGGGTGGAGAAAGGTATGGTCCAGTTGGGGTAAACTCCATTAAAATGCTGAAGGGGTCAATCTGAACCTGACAGCTCCCCAAAGATGGATGAGGCCCTAAAAGGGAATTGGGGCGGAGTAGGGAGAAGACAAACACTACCACTCTCTAGCAAAATTTGTGCAAGTGTGGATAGTTGATAAAGTTGAGATTTTTAGATGACGGAGTTTTGATAGAAATGAGCTCAAGGGGATTGGCTAGGAAACCTTATTCTGAATCAACACCGGAGATAAAGCATGTGAAGTCTTAAAAACACACCCAGAGGCTTGAGCCACAGATAAGTAAGGCTTTGCTTGAACCAGATGCTTGGTCAAGGCTGCTGAGGGTAAGTATTATGTGCCACCACCTGTTCAGGAAGCAGAACTCCTGACAAATTCAGACAGGACAGGAAGGTGTGAGCGGAAAACACTGGCTTCACTCCCCTCAGCAGATATTATGTGAGTTAAAGCATCAAAAATACATTTCTACTGGGAACATGAAACTGTTCCAACCAAAAATGAAATAACATGACTAATGTGATACAAGCAAAATACCAGGCCACTACACAAGCAAAAAATCCAGAGATGGTGCAGCTCTATGAGCTGTCAAGTACACAGAGACTGAGTTGCACTGGTCAAAAGGAGGGACAAGGCATTCCAGAGGGTTTTGGTCTAGTTCTGGCATCGCCTTGGACTTGAAGAGACAGAGTGATCTGAAGTAGTTACCTGTGTAAATTCTCTTCAGAACACCCAGGATTGCCACCTCCTTGTTTTCCTCTGCAGGGCCACTGAAGGGCTCCTTCCCCTGGAAGCGACACAGGGCCTTCTGCGTAAGGCAGGCTGCGCTCCTGGACAACGACATCACCAAGGAGAACATCATCAGCAACCCATTAGGGCAGAGCCCAGGGGAAGCCATTCAACTTTGCACGGAACACCTGGAAAAGCAGCTCCTGCCAGCGTCTTCTGCTGGGTGCCCATGTCAATCTCTTCCCATAGAGTAATGTTGCTGGAAATCATCCCTCTACTCTGGAGCTCGAACAGAGAACAAGAGACTGATGCATCCCTTGGGGTAAACACTCTCTCAAACTACAGAGACTTCTTACCTGTAATTCAGCTTCCTCAGCAAGCCAGTGATTTTCTCCAGTGTACTCTCCACCGTTTCCTCAACTTCCAGCTCCTCCTCTTCCCCTTCCTGCAGTGGTTGAAAGAGCTGCTGTGTGGCAGCCCTAACTTCTGGCAGCATCGCTTCCCACTCTTCCTCTGGGGCAATCGCTGGAGCTATTAAAAAAACAAGCAAAAAAAACCCAACAGAGGAAATGAAGAATATAGACTCAAATGACACCCTAAATGGGGAGAGAAACTCATCTGGAACTTCAGAATTCTACTTCCCACTCCATCCCAGGCAGGCACTATTCCCATTGCTGATCCTACCCAGACTGCAGTAAGAATAGACAAGAACTCTTAGCATCAAAAAAGAAACCACTGAGGGTAAAAGAAATGACAGGTAAGAGAGAACCATCACTTGATATTTATTATTTTGTAGGCAGCACCAGGTCCAAGGCTAATCAAGTTTAAATTAATATCTGACCAAAATTATGGCTCAAGCAGTCCTTGAATGATTGAAAATGGAAATCTGGGAGGGTGTTCATAAGTATTTTCACTTCTTACCCTGAAAATAGGGTATTTAGCTAAATGGACTGTTGATCTATATATGGACATTGATATGGCCCTTTCATAACATCACTGTATGAAGCAACCACAACCTAGGTGAAAATTTAAGATGGGTTAAAAATAAACCCTGGTATGCTCTGGGAAGAGGAAAGAGGAAGAAGGAAAATTACCTGCTGTGGATCTGGCATGGGCCCTCATTTCTTGCAGCTTTTGCACCTCTTTATTCAGTGGTTCAGTCAAGTCAGTACAGCTTAGCTGAAGATGCCAGGAAGAGAAACAGAAATATGCTACTTATCCTCCTTTTTCTGAAATGCCAGAGAAATCTCCTTTCTCTTCCACTTTCTGATTTAAGTTATCAATCCCCTCAGAAAACCCTGGTTTTGGAAACTGGAGTAGTTTTTCTAGAATGGACACAGCTGTAAATTGCCAGTCTGAGGCTCAGAAGCTCAGGAGAAGGGGCAGTTCAGCACAAAGAGCTGCAGCTCTGTGCAGAATGTTCTAAAACACTAATTCTGATCCTAAGGAAAGAAACCCCATAGTGGATTCAAATCAAACTGCTGCAGGTTTTTCCACAATCAAACACACCCCTCCTGGCCATCAGCATACCTACTAATTACACCAAGTGAGGGAAGAGCAAGATCTGAGTCTGGGAAAACCAGAAAGCTCCCAACTGCAGAATTAAAGGCTAATGTTGTCCCTCTCACAAGACACAGAAAGGCTGCTGCCCTGGCTATAGCACACTGCAGATATTTATCCTGCAGACCCCTACCATTTCCATCATACTAGTCAGAATTACCTTGCAGGAGAAGGGATTGTTGGACAAAAACGCAGCCAGGAGCTGAATCGCATTTTTAACCACTATCACAGATTTGTCCTTGAGACGCCCAACAGCCAGTGATACAACAGACTGGAACTGAGTCAACGGCAGGGCCTAGCACACAATAAGAACATAGAAAAGTTACCAAGAAGGCTTAGAGACTCAGGAAGTTATTTTACTGCAGACATATTAACGTTCTAAAAGGCACAGATTATAGATTTATAGAAAAGTCTAGGCCTGAAGGGACCTTGGGATACCCTCTGGCCCAACCTCTATTGGAAGCAAGGACTCAGATTTGGTCATCCAGTGTCCTGTTAAGTCGAGTTTTAGTCTACCTAGTGAGGGTGATATTTTCCCATACCAATGTCCAAAAAGAGCTTGCATACTCTAGACTGTCCCTGTAATGAAGAGCAGCACATAATTTCTGTTCCCCAGTTCCCTTGCCCCTAGGATCTTTGGTCTCTTGGGAAAAAGGAACTAGAGACACCACAGTAAACAGGGACCATACCTTTCTCTGTTAAACTTCAGTCTCTGCAAACAAAGAGCAGGGTGACAAATTCCCTTCAAAAACACAACAAGGAAGAGACAACTGAGGCAACACTATTTCCCTAGCACAGACTCACCTTGCACTGAACGATTCGAGTGAAAAGCTGCAGCACACGGCTGCGCACAAAGCTGTGGACATCACAGACATGGGCCTGCAGCATATTCAGGAACTGGTCCCGAGTACCACGGGCAGCTTCCTCCAGCTGGTCACCATTCAGCACCTGCACCAGCACTTCTGCCATAGCTGCCAGAACGGCGTTTCGCATCATGTAACTCTGCAAAAAGGAGAGTTGTTGAGCCAGGAACAGAAAAAGAAGACGTGACTTGATATGCCAAGGGGATGGACAGCCCAGAGTTTGGGCCTTCTAAGACCCACGCTCCAGCCTTAAGTGAATATCTCCATTATAGACTCTGTATTAACCTTGGGTGATCATGGCTGTACCTGAAAGGGAGAGTAATCCAACCCTGATATCTACCTAGGTCCACAGAAGTCAAGAACTGACATGAGAAACACTCATGACTTAAGGGCAGTTTAAGAAGAGGTAACACGCTGACAAATTCATTAAGTACTGCAGAACGAGGGACAACAGCTGGGATCTCAGAGCAGTAAGCACTCTCCCATTCCCTAATCTCAGAGTGACAACCAAACAGTAGATGTCATGGTTTCTGTCTCCTTTGCATCTTTTAAGTAAGGGCCAAATTTATTCCCAAAGGGCAGGTTTTGGCTGCTTGGATCTCTGTGAAAGAGGTTGTGTTTTCCAACAGAAAAACTGAGGAGCAGCATCTCTACCACTTGACTTCTCTGGACAGGTAATAATGCACAAATGTACCTCCCCATCCAAGTGATGCAGGAGAACACTTATGTGGGATAGCACCAGAGCTGGAATCTGTTCAGCCAGTTCAGTTATAAAGACAGCATAACCCTTGACTCCAGAAGCATCACGAGCCAGATCCTGCTGATGTTTCTGTCCGATTTCTCTGCACAGAAAGATGAAACAAGGAATTGGGTGCCTCAAGTTGCTAGGCACAGAACAAGCCTCAGGGTGTTTTTCTCACCTTAGCAATTCGCCCACCAGGCTTTTCAGACCATACTCTGTAGCCCAGAGGCTCACAGCCCGTGCAAACACTGTGGCTACATGTTCAAAGTGGTGCAGCATCTGTGTGATCTTCAGAGTGGCACCTTTCACACGTGAGAAGGAAGAAAGCAGTCAGGGAAAGCAACTGAGAATGGCTTCAGTAAGAAGGCAGAAGAGCGGGAACTCACTGAACATGTGATTGTAGTGAATCAGAGCTGCAGTAAGCAGATGTGTCACAGCCTCCCGCGTGGCCCGGTACTTCTGAAGACCAATACTTGAATTCTCCAGGATACGGTAGCAGCTTCCTGTCACTAAGCTAAAGCCACAGAAGAAAGACAGTCAATCTCAGTGTACCATCACAACTTGCACTAACATCATTCCAGAGCACTGCACTAGGCAAACATTTCTCTCAAACCAGATTCTCCAGCATCCTTAAAAAACCTAAGCAACAAACATCTGAATTTGAGATGCCTACATGAGGAAATGAAGTGCTTCCTAAACATATCACTTTTGCTTCAAGATGCTTTCCTCAGTTTCCAGTGATTTGTGCTCCACTGATGGCTGTAATATCACCCCACTGACAGATTTAACATTTAACACTGCCCCTTCCAGAAAACCACCATCAATCCTTCCACCTCTACATCTACTCCAACCCACACCTGACAAAGTCTTCTTCCACCACCAAACCACCCCAAAGCTGACGGAGATCCAGCTGCAGCAGCTGCGTGAGCAGCCGTAAGAGTGGCTCCCTCTCCTCTTCCCACAAGGATCCAGAGATCTTGGTACGGTTCTTCTTGTTCTATAAAGGAGATCACACAATGCAATACATCCATCAGCAGCTTGACAAAAGCAAGAACACCGCTGCCACCCTGCTTCCCTCAAAAAAGAAAATAATTATTAAATTCTAAAACATTAAGAGACAAGCAGTGATATGTACAAGAAGCTTATATGCCCACTTCAAATGACTGTTGCTGTCATATTAGACCACTAAGAAAATACTGGCACACTAAGTACCAGCCAGACACTGAAGAGTGAAACAAATTGGACTGGGCATCTGAGTCACTGCTGATGTTTAGACACACATTGTCCCTTTGGCTATTTTCCATGTGCAGTTTCACAGAAATACCCAGTACTCCCCATTGTGAACTGCTTCTGCTGGCATCATGTTTATATAAACACAGCTATAACAGGTGATAGATTCCAGAGTTCAGCAAGCTTACACATTTTCTACTTTTATCATCTTGTTTTCCCCGCAGTCCCCTTGCCTACCTTCCCACTAGGATCCACCTCCAACAAAGCACTGCTACTGGTTTCCATTTCAAAGGCATCCACCAGGCCAGTCAGCAAGTAGCAGTTCATCTTGAGAGTGTTGAGGTGAGCAGTGCGGTCTGCCTGGCTCAGCCCAGCGCCACCCAAGATGGCAGGAAGTTCCTTAGAATGATGAGACACCACTGAAGAGAGACAGAAAGTTGTGAGAGCTCCTTGCCAGGCACCTCATCCATCCTTGCTTTTGGAGACTCAGAGCAGTCATCAGATTACCAAAGATGTGTGCTCACATCTCACCAGCTGTAACATGGGCTGCTCCCTGCAACCCAAACCTTGGATGCACTGTCTTATCCTATCCCCACATCCCCACATCAGCTCACAGAAACACTTGCATGGAGCTGATGCATCCCAAAGATATATCTTCCAGGGATGCAGGGAAGTGGATTTTCTGTTGGCCTGCCCTTACAGCGAACACGCACAGCTCAGCGTTGTCCACCAAGATTACAGACCTGTATTACTGGAATGGGCTGAGGGTGCAACCCAGCTGGTCAAGTCACATTAGCCTTTATATCATCACTGAGCTGCCGAAGGAGAGAAACCTCTGTTTTATTCCTGCTTCAGCTGGAAACAGCAGATACTCACCCTGCATCATGAGTTCCAGGCCATCCTCCCTCACAGCAGTTTCCACAGCTTGGAAGTGGCTGCAGGGCAAGGACAAGGCATGAAGGCAGCAAGTAAACACCACCAGGGAGAGGCGTGAGGGCCCAGGGCCACCAGCCTCTCCACAACCCTCCTCCACCCGCCTCTGCTCCCACTGTCCCCGGCTCCGCGCTCATCGCTCTGTACTCACTGGAGCAGACTGTAGAGGGAGTCGAAGTGCTGCAGCACCGCCAGCGCGCCCCGCGCCCGGAAGGCAGTCCGGAAGGCTGCGGGAAAACACGGCGAGAAGCGGAGTGGGGGACAAATAACGGTGAGCCAGCGCAGGGCCAGGCCGGGCCAGGCCAGGCGTGGGGGTGTGCGGGAGAGGCCTTACCTGTGAGGGCGGGCGGCAGCTCCCGGGCAGACACCACCTTCTGCACGACGTAGCCCCCACGGCCGTCATCCCGCCGCAGGTCGGTGGGGGCTAAAGGCAGGTGGAACTCCCAGGCGGCGGCGGCTGCCTCCGCCGCGACCCCTGCCATAACTCCTCCGGCCGCCA